GTCATATCGCCACCATGTGCTGTAACATCCTAGATTTTATTGGGCCCTAGATTGTTGTTAGCAACTTTACAGAGGGCAAAAGATTAAATATTGGGCCTAAAATAGTTAAAATATTTGTATATATATATATAATAAAATAAATAAGGACAATAATTAAAGTGAGTAAATTTAACAAATGTTTGAAACTAACTAAAAAAATTAATTGAAATCATAGTAGTCAGATAATTTTGTAAGTTCTATTATATATCATATCATTTTAAAATTTTCTTCATGTATATATGTATTTAAATAATGATAACAATAATAAAAGAAATTATTATAAGTTTAAAATTATAACCTAGTGAAAACCCTACCCTTCTGATGATTTATTTTTCCTCACCCCTTTCACGCGACCGCAAACAGCTCTCCTGCAGGTAACTCTTTTAGTTCCTCTTTTATACCCTAATCGATTTCTCTTCTGGAGGCATCACTCAGGTATACATTCATATATGTTATATGAACAACCATAAAGCTGTTAACAATTGTCCCTTTCCCGAAAAAGTTGCTGTTCTTTTTCTTCCCTTAGTGATTTGTCTGCATCAAACCTTGTTACTCATATGCCTAAGAAGATAATAACAACAATAGTTTTCAATTTGCTTATCCTTTGGTCCCATGCACAGGAACTAAATCCTCCTGTTTTCAATCTCTTTATATATATAACCTAATAAAATGATAGTTTTAAATGATTTCATATACAAATGAGAGAGAGGACGTGAGAGCATATATATATATATATATACTAAAGCCTATCTTCTTTCCTTATATATATAACCTAAGAAAACACGTATATCTCACTGTCCGCTTGTAGCCTTCTGATGCTTATTATAGTTGCATATATATAAGCATATTATTATTACATACTTATAATAGTAGTATAATAAATTATATATAAGTAATTATACAATAATAAGTTAGATTAACACTTGAGACTTGTAAGTTTAGGAACGTGTATAATTGAATTTTGACATGAAACTTGACTATTAATAAATTAATTAAATTATAAAGTGATATGAATTTTAAAGGAAAATACTGGGCCCTCAAGGGTAGCACTAAGGTTTTATAGTCATTTTAGAGTAACCATAGGATAGCTGTAGGGAAATTCTTGGTAACTTTAAATTCTTTATTAATATTTTTATGCATGTGATTTTTGTAGACTCTCACTGAGAGCTCTTCTTGCTTAGTTTTGCTATATGGATGCATGTGCTCAAGGAGAACAGGTAACTTGAGGTTTTTTTCATATGTGTGCAAATTGTGTGTTTGATAATGAATGCATATAATCATAAATTTAATTGTAAAAAATTTATATGTTACTTAAACTTGTCAAGCATGCTTGTAGCTCGGCTATATATTATTGGTGTTTCTTTTCAAGCATGCTTGTAAATGTAGATTAATAGATACAAATGACATGTATTATTTAAGAGTGGTTAATTTCTTTCAAACATGCTTGTACATTAAGTTGATTGAATGAGATAAGTCTACTCGTTTTCAAGCATGTTTGTACACGATGTAATTGTTGTTTATGTGCAGCATGCATTGAGGGATGGGTGAAGAAGAGGTGATGATGTTAATACATATATGATTCAATAACCACGTGGTTTGCCTCCACTGCGCACACAATGGTTAGCCTTTTTCAAAGCATCATTCCTCAATACTTACCTAGCCGGGTTTGTAAAGGAGGAATGTGAGACAATGACACCTCCTGGTTGGGTTTTTTTAAGGAGGAAAGCCATAGTCTAGGCTTGGGCTCTATACCTTTGGCTGGATACATCTCAACATTAGAGAAGCTTGGTTAGTCCAATGTGCGGGTTAAACCGTATATAAGCCTATAGTTCTAGTCAGTGAAATAAGGATGGATGAAGTAATAAGGGAGATTTTTGGTATTGCATATTAACATGTTATGAGCTATTTCCTATGAAATTCTTATGTTATAACTAAATGATGCTTATGAACTCACTTGTATATTGATTGTATAATTATGTGATTGAAGTTTGTGCATATATGGTTTAACTTTGGTTACTGAGATGTTAGTGCTCACCCCTTCTTTAACATTTTCCAGGTGAAGGCCTGAGTAAGAATTAAGGGAAGGCACCAGAGGAGTGAGCCTTTGGCTCTTGTACTCCTTGCAGCACATGCAGGATTATATTTACTTTTTGCCATAACTATAGGACTTTTTGTTATTTTTAGACCATATTTCTTTCATTCTATTTGCTTTTAGTTATTGAACGATAGTCCACCATAAACTAGCTTAGATTAAGATTTCTAGAATTTGGTTATATGTTAAATTATGATGTCACAAAAAGAAATTATGCTTTGAATTAAATAAAGTGGGTGTAGCCTTTGTTCTTCGATAATGGTTTGGTAAGTGTCTAGATAGTAGGACAAGGTGTTACACGTGACATGTTACATATTCATTGTGAAATATGCCCAAACCAGGGTTTGAGCCCTTAACCTCCACCTCCCAAGTCTTACGTCTTTCTTTTGCTAGTTGATCTAAAATACACCTGCAATTACTCTATGCAAAATTAAATATAATTATTTAACTACATATACATATATCAAATAATTTATTATTAGAAATATATGAATATATATTTTATTTTATTTTCATTTATGAATATGATAAAATAATTTATATGAGTGTGTATATATATGGATTATATTTTAATAATATATATTTTTGTTGTAGCAAATATTATTTTTGTTAGGAATATGAACTTAAAATGAAATAATTTTTAAATATTAAATAATTTTCTTATAAACATTTAACCAATTTTTAAATTTTATTTTTATTTTTAAATGAAAATAATTAAGTATATAATTATTTATAAGTATTTATATATATTTTACCTTAAATATCTTCTACTTTTTCTTCCATATTTTTCTTAAAAATTAATAATTAAATGATTAAACTTTTATCTTCTCCCAAGTTAAATACTTCCCCTTATTTTATTAAAAATAAATTTATCTATAATTTTTTAATTATATTAAAAGATCTTTTAATAAAAAATTTATTTTAATCATATAAATTTTGTTAATAGTCATTTTGAATAATTATTCTTTATTATCTTTGAGATAAGAAATGGGTGGACATGTGATAAATTAGAAGTAGATGCTAAAAAAATCTAAATTAAAAATCTAAGTGGATATTTTATAATCAAAATAGAAAGAATCTTATCTTAACTCGATCTAGATTAGTTTAGACTTCCATTAAAGTCTTTTTAATAGAGTCAATCTCAAGATAATAGGGAATACTTTTCAAAAATTTACAATAAAATAAATGAACTTTAATAAGTTTATATATAATTTCATCTATAATTCAAATATTAACATAAATTAAACAATCAAGTTTACAATTCTCATCCAATAAAAATCCCAAAAAATTTAACATTAACAATTAAACAATTTGAGTAATTTGAAGAACAAGAACTAGATGAGAAACACTACTATAGAATACACCCATACTTGATGTTTATTTTTTTTAATACTTGATTATTTATAACGATCAAGCAACATTGTGACATATATTACAACCAATTTTACTTGATGATTAAAAATTGTCAAGTATTCTCCACCTATTTTATTTGTTGCTCATTTTAAATAACTATCAAATATGGAGAGTTTTATTTAAATTATCTTGTGATAGTAAAAAGTAGAGTTTAGCAGACAGAGTAGACAACATATGTTTACTAAGCTAAGCATCAAGTGTGTAATATGTCAAGTAGTTTGCAATGCTATTTGCATTTTATAACATCTATACAACTTTAACATTTCAATGCCATTTATGTATATGTCTGTAAGTAAGTATTTATGTATAACTTAGTTTGATTATAATTTGAAATTTTTTTTAAATAATTCATAAAAAATATAAAAAATAATTCATTTATAATTTATATATAACTTAGCTTGATTATGTATACTAACTTAATAAGATCATTATTAGAAAATAATCCATAAGAAATTTTTTAAATGTAATTATTAAAATAAATCATTATTAAAGTGCTAGCTTAACAAGTTCATTATTTTTAAAAGTAATCATTATTGATCTTATATATATTTATTTATCATTCTATATATAAATACCGGCAACAAATTTTTCTTTTAAAAATAATTATGTAAATTAATTTTTATAAATTTTTAAAATTTTTGAAATTATTTAAATTTTATAATTATTTTTTTATGAAAATACTTTTAAAGTAATTGCATAATTTTTTTTAAAATTTTTAATTATGTTTTTATGAAAATACTTTTGACGGCAATAGCTTGTCACCACTAAGTAAGTTCATATATATTTTTAATTTTAATTATTTTTGTGAAAGTGCTTTTGGCAGTAATAGTTTGTCCCCATTACAAGTAATTACATTACTTATTTTTAATTTTTTTAATTATTTTTATGAAAATACTTTTGGTGGTGACAAATTGTCACCTCTGAAAATAATTATATACAAGAACATTGAAATATGTTATTAATAGAAAAGGACTTATAACAAGTCATGATTTGAAAAAAAAAAAAAAGTCATTGTTCCTATTTTAAATAACAATTAATTTTTTGTCAATCCTTGTTTGTGAATGACATTCTTCAACGGTCCGCATGTACGAAGTTCCCCTTTTATCTTGACTTCATTATTTCATTTATGTTCAGGTTTGCAAGTATTGAAAAGAAGTTTGCATAGATACATTGTTCCTTCAATTATATTATAATGATTTTTAATTTTAAATGAAATAAATTTCTCCCTCAATTGATATTTTATTTAATTCAATTGTTAACAATTCTATAGCATGTGAAGAGTGGTAGTTTATTGAAACAATTTTTTTTTCCACAGAGTAAAAGTTTGATTTTATTTTATTTTAAATTTAAATTATAGAAAACTTTTGTGTCATTTCTTGTAATATTCTTGTGCCCTTGCTTATAATTTTCTTTGTACTCTTTCTCGTAGTTTTTGTCAATTTTATCTGTTGATCAGATTTTATCTTCTTGGGTTGGAAAAAACAGAGCATTTTGCGTTCTCCTTCTTCTTCACCGACATCTTGCTCCTCTTCTCTCCTCACCGTCGAATTCCTCCCTCACTGTCGGACTGCTCTCGTTACTGTCACTCTTCTCCTCTGTTTGCGGAACCTCGCTGTGGTTCCTGTTGCAGCTTCACGATCCTCTGTTTCTTTCTTTCCTCGGTGCTGGTGTGGTGTGCGTGGGTAACCAAGGAGTTTGGGCTTCTTGAATGTTGTTCCTTTCGTCTTCCTGCAGTGGTCTGCATGCTTAAGAAGTGACTTTCTGAATTTTTTTTTTTCTCTCCTCCTTTTCTGGTCATCCGTGGGTGTTGAAGCTAAGGGATTTGGCTCTTTTGTTTTGTGATGCTATGGCTTTTAGGATGAGGGTTGAAACTTCTACTTCTAGCTGATTGTTTTTGTGGCCTACGACTTTAGCAAGGAAACTTGAGAAAATTCAAAGGCCACAGTGGTACTTTGAAGTTGGTAGTTATTAAATTTGAATTTAAGTGTTGTTTTGATTAATGATGGAGGCCAATTTATTTTGAGACTACGCTGGATTTTAATTAAAGAATTAAATGTTGAAAGTTATTGAAATTCCTTAGATGTTTGCTTTATGATTTAATTGATGGAAATGCCCTCAAGTTATTTATAGAAATACTTAAAAAAAAATTGAGTGAAATGAATGTTGTTAAACTTCCATGTTATAGCTTGAAAGAGTATATATAAATTTTCATTTAAGCTAATAATTAGAATATTAAAAATACCATAGTAGAAGAAAAAAAATTAAATAAAACTCTTGTTATAATACTGTATTAAGTTTAAATAAAGGATAAGAAGAGTTAATGTGATGTATTATGAATTATAATTGAGGATGAGGTATAAGAAGAAATAAGGATGAATTAAGATTTGTCAAATAGTATGATTAATTTAAGTATATTAGAACTTTAATGAATATAGTGCTATCTTGATTATTGCTTGAAATTGTAATTGTTGTTATGTTGTAAGGGATGAATACCACCTGATAAGGTCTTCTCTTGCTCTAGTTATGTTGTCAAATACTTCCTTACATTAAGAAAAGAGTGAATAACTGATTTTAGGATTGTAATTTACTTGTTAGGAAATTAATGACACCCTTGGAATTAAATGACAAGTTGAAGTGAAGCAAGTTTTAGAATTATTGAAAACTCTTAGATAAGTAAGTAATGTCCCAAATAATTTCTTACAAAGTGTTTATAAAATTTCTTATTTAAATTTTTACATTATTCTTTTCTAAGTTGTATAAATATTCTTGTCAATTTTAATTTTAGGATTCACAAAATTCTTTTACTTGCCAAACTTTTATATTTACTAGTTTATTATGGAGTCCACTTCATGTTCATTAAGAATTATGCTATTGTTAAAGAATATTTAGAGCTGGTACATTATTAACTAAATATTTATTCTAAACATTTTTATTGTTTAAATTGTATGATTTATATTACAGTTACTAAAATAGTGATTCAAGCATGAAGAAAATTGAGAAGAAAATTTGACAGTTGAATATTATATTTTGAAAAGAATGATTTTCAATGAATGTTTCAACTCCATGTATGCTTGATTTTAATTAGGGGGATTGAATTTAAAATGCTGGATGTTAATGACAGTTTCGTTAGCCCTTGGCATGCCATGATACATTTAGCTAAAAAGGTGCTTAGGAGATAGCCTCATACGACAATCAACACATGTGGAGTGGTGGGATGATTATTTGTAAACATAGTACTCACGCTTGTTTTTATGGTTTCAAGCCGCGCTTGGCAATTACTTACCATTGTGGACTGTGTCTATGCTTGTTAATTATTATGATAAAGTCCCACTAAAAGTGAATTTTTGGAAACTTATTATTTGTAAATTTATTATATTAAAAAAATTATTATTTGATCATATATGATTTTATATGATAAATTCCCTCCTAGGTTAGATTTAAAAATTTATTGTTTTATATTAGTTATTTACAAACATTTTCTCTTGATTATATCATTATTCAAATTTTTTTTATATGATTTTATGAGTTGTATGGTTCTTGATAGCCTATAAAATTCCAAAATTATTGGTTTATAATTTTGTCATTCATTGCTAGTTAAAATATACGTTTTAATTTTTCATTGATTTATTTTAAATTAAACTTTACTAATTACTACTTTACATATTTTATCTATAATTTGATTAGGCTGCTATTTACCAAAAAATTTATTTGATTTCAAATATTGAAGTTGACCCTGCACTTCTTACTGATCATGGAAGGGTTCTACTACTTTTTTGGACAGCAAAAGCACATGTTAGTCATTTTGTTGATGCAAATATATATTGTATTATGCAAATTTTAACTTATTACTCTACATATACCGTAGTTAGGTCCTAGACTTTATTTGTTATTGTAAAATCTACTGGTGTGGAACTAAGCTCCTTTTTGGTTTGGGTGACAGGTGTTGCTACTGTAGAAATTTTAGGAGATGTTAATTATAGGAAAGATTGCCAAAATTTCTAAGGAATGTTAAAAATTTTACCAACTTTATAATTATATATATATTAGAGACTTTTTTTGACTAGTAGGGATTATTTATTAATATTTTATCTTAATATTTAGTTGATTAAGGCTTATAGAATGTGAGTTTATCTTATATTCCATGTCAGTCATAACTTTAGTACTGGGGTGTGACATAACCTGTATTACAAAATATGCTATCTCTACAGCATCAAGCGCTAAATGTACACAACTCATGCATAATTCATAGAATAACATAAGAGTAGGTAACAAAAACAATGATATGGAGATAAATAAGGCAGTGTTTCGTTGGAGAAGTTGGAGGGAGGGAAGGGGTTGTTACACAAGGACTAAAATAATCCTTACTATACTCTCCTCTCACTCCCAACACTCTTCTATAATAAAATTAATTTTTATATAGTATGAAAATATAATTATGTTTTTATCATTGAATTCCGGCCCAAAAAAATCATTGAAGTAAAACTTTTTCTAACGAGATAATATATTAAAATTCATCAAATCATCTGCATAATAAAAAAATTATTATAGATAAGTTAAGTGGTACTCAACAATTAGAAAAATAATAAATTATGATATGAACAGTTTTTTATAAAAGAAGAAAAAAATTAGGAAAAGAATTGAAATGATATAATGTCAATTAAGAATTAGCTCACTCCCCTCCAAAGTCCTAAACCAAATAAGAATTTTCCTCCCCTTCATCTCAACCAAATAATAAGTTCAGTCTATTAGGGCACTTTTGACATAAGCTCTCCTATAGGCCTTACTTTTTCTTTTTTAATTTTATTTTAATAGCCTATCAAAGTTCTTATCACAGAAGCACTCCAATAAGTTTTAACTATTTTTCTTTTTAAATTTTTTTATGTGACATAGCGAAGCGCTTATTGTAAAAGCGCTTCCTTATATTGGAGCGCTATTTTACAAAAGTGCCCTGATATGTTTTGCCTCAATATTTTGAAGAGTTTTTTTAATATAAATCCTCTGAAATAGGTGCTCCTCCAAGGATGGACCTATTATATCTTTTTAGTAGTGTAGTCATTATTATATCTTCTATATTTATTGTCTAAATTATTTGTCGCTTCAATTTTTATATATCCTTTCCTCCAGGGACGGACCAATGTTTATAACAAAGGGTCAAGTAACTCAAGGAGAAATTACTTAAGATGATCCTGAATAATTTTTGTTGCTCCCTTAAAAAATTTCAATTGCCCCCTCACTTCAAAAAATTCCACTTATCCCCTTATAAAAGTTTACTTATTCCATTATCTAAAATTATATATATGTGTCTGTTATAAACTTAAATAGCAATAGTTTTAAAATGAAAAATCAAAAATTAAAAAAAATTGTTTATGAAAAATTTTATCACAAAATTCTCTATACAAAGGAGGTATATTAGTTTTATCCAATGAAAATTTAAAAACATGATTCTAATAGATATAAAAAATATTTATATAAAGAGAGTATTTTATGCTATTATAATGTTAATTTTTATGCATTTTTAATATTTAATTTTATTAACTTGTACCATTAATATAATTTAATAGATATTTAAAATTATTTATTTTATAAAAATATTAGTATTTATTTTAAGTATAAATTAGCCCCATTGAAATTTTTTTTTGGGTCCGTCATTACTTTCCTCCACAAGACCCTACATTTCTTATAATTTTCTTCATTTTCTTATTTTACATGTCTTTTCTTATAATGTTGCATTCATAATAAAAATCAAGTTGTAGTAATAAAGAAAATTCTGATTGAAGGTTTAGCCCATTTTTATTAGGTAGAGTGAATTATGTTAAAGGAGACAATTAAAACCATATAATGTATGAATTCTAGAGTGGCTAAAAAGGTTTGTTGTGTTTTATTTGTACATTTCATACTCATGATTCTTATTTTCCCTTGTATTCTTGCAAAACAAAAGTTTAATGTGCTGGAGAAAAGGAGGGCTTGGATAGAAGCTACCAAGATGCTTGAAGACCGTATAAATGTGCAACCACTACAAAAAATTGACTTTTGGCGGTGACAAAATGTTGCCGCCAAAAGTCCAAAAGTCGCCGCTAAAACTTTTAGCGGCGACTTTCTACCACTAAAAATCATTGCTATAACAACCGTCGTTAATAGTTTTTGGCGGCGATATGTCTTTTCGCCACTAAAAGCCTTTTTAGTGGCAACAAATGTTGCCGCCAAAAAGACTTTTAGCGGCAACAATTTGTTGCCACCAAAACTTTTTTTAAGAAATAATAATTTATTTTATGCCACATCACTCTGCCACGTGTGTATTAAGTGATGTCACGTCACCTACCATATATGCAATAGATTATGCCACGTCACTTGCCATCTTGTTGCACATCACAGTCCATGTGTTCAACAGATAATGTCATGTCACATGACACATGTGCACTTCCTCACGTCACCATCTCGTGCCATGTCACCTGCCACGCCACCAGCTCATGCCACATCACCTGTCACGTGTGTGCCTTCTCAAACAACCTCACGTGCCACATCACCACCATGCGCCACGTCACATATTTGTTGTGAAATATGACAAAGCCAAGATTTGAACTCTTAATCTCTCCCTCCTCCAAGCCTTAAGCCTCCCTTCTTTGCCAATTGAACTGAAATGTACCTCCAATTATTATATGCGAAATTAAATATATATTATGTAACTG